TACAATAAGGTATAATGTATAAACACTACAATGTGAATGAGATAGACAACATAAAATTTCCTGTGACCAATATATATGTTCTTTAGCGTGGGACATGTAGCTGTCCTGCTTTTCAGCTCAAAAAGAGGGTACACTGTGAAATTTTAATGGAAACATTCTTTGTCCAACTACCTATCTCAGGATTTGATACTGGTGTCCATCACCGTAGTAACTATCTGCTCTCCATATAAAATTAATAGAAAGAGGCAAGTCTTCTAGCGCACTTCCTTCCTTTGGGAAATAAAACATATCAAGGATTTGGTTTCTTGGTTTTTAAATACATTTTACTCTTGCTATAAACACTGAAAAACTAATCAATTGAAAATTTAAAAAAAATCTCGCTAGGCAAGCAGTCAACAGAAAATACATATGCTTTCAAGCTTTTAAGTCTTTTAAAAATCAGTTGCAAACACATTTCAGCACAAATAATGAAACTTATGTCCTGCTTCAGACTAATACAGCTAACTACCTCTCTCTATTTTTAATGAATCAGGTAAACGTTTACCACACAAGATAGTCAGTCATGCAAATTCTGTCTCCAGAATGATATGGTTTAGACTCAGTCAGCCCAATAAATCTAGCATCCATCAACATCAGATACTTCCCCCCCGTCCTTAGAAGAATTCCTTTTGATGTTAGCTGAGCAAATGGATGAAGGCCAACGTATGCTCATAAATCTGCAGTTTATGGTACACAACAATCAGGAATTCTTAGAAACATTACCATCTTTGTTTTTTTAAATACTATAGTAATTATGCTGTAGAAGTTTTCCTTAATACTGTTTTTTTATGCGTATATACTTTCCAACATGGCTCACAGCATGCATACAGAATTCAGTAAGAAAAATCTACCCCTCAGAGGTAAAAGAAAAAAAGATCATGACTTACAAATAACTTACAAATAACCAACCCTGCTCCTATTTATGTATGTTATGCCCTTTTACTTGTCCCTCTAACATGCATCTGAGAAATCGTGTGGGCTCTGTGCTGTACTTAATCCAAAATATCAAACTCCATTTGACCAGTTTAGGACGAGAATCCCAGACCTCAATATTCTGTCAGTAAAACTGCCTGGCCATCTGCCTTTCTACACTTAAGATAAGGAAGTTTTTGCTCAAATGCTCAGCTGATGTTATCTGCTTCACAACAGATCCTAGGAAGTGGATTGTTCCACCAGACAGCTAGGGCCCAGGCTGTACACATGAAAGTCAACACTTCAAATTACACTCACACAGTAGTTGAAGTAAAACGTTTCTGTCAATATTTTAAAACTTTAACTGCAGGTATCCTGATACTACAGCAGAGATGACTAACTACCGTAGATCATCAGTTGGCAAGGGTGGGCAAAATGTGGCCCGGGGGCCGGATGTGGCCCACCAGGCCATTCTATCTGGCACATAGGGCCCCTAAAAAATTAAAAAAATTAATATGCATCTGCCCTGGGCTGCCTGTCATGCAGTCCTTAATGGATTGCCTAAACTCAGTAAGTGGCCCTCTGCCCAAAATAACTGCCCACCCCTGGTTTAGGGCCACAGGCTGGATTAATTAGGGTCAGGTCCCAGGTAAACCAGTGAAATAATTCCTTGCCCCCACGTCATTGCAGCACATGCTACCTCATGCAGCCACCCTGTGTGCTGTGCTCCTGCCTGGCTGCAGCACTGTAATGGCTTGGTGGTACAGAGCCCCCCAACTATGGCATATGCACAACTCCCTCCCCTCCCCTTCCCTCCCCATGCCTGGCCATAACATAGGCAAAACCCCCTGAATCCATAGGCTGCTGCATGCTGCCAACCCCTGAACTAGATTATCATCCCTGAGTTCTCAAATTCACGTGGGTCTAACAGTACCTTAGTGCAGAAGGTACAGGGAAAAGCCCTAAAAAGGAAACCATGTAACTGTTCCAAACCTATCATATTCACGTTTGTAGTCAGCTCTGACTGAAAGAAATCACCTTGCATGTGATGTAGCCCATACTTATTATGGGAGTATAGCATCTCGTCTGCCTGTGTCATGAAGTCACCCTGAACAAAGGGCTTTGACTATCTCATGCCAACTCTGAAAAAACTTTATAACCAATTTCACAGGGATCTCACCGATGCACCAGGGCACCCCGTATACCCAAGATCTATCTTTCTTATCCATATTCAATCCCAAGATAAACAAAGATTGCAAGTCCTCTTAAATGAATATTATTTTGGAACTGGCTTGAATTCAGTCAAAAATAGCAAGGTTACACTACCTCCCTGAGCATCTGTCAGCACTTGCTGCACTACAGTTTTATAGATGCACAAAAAGCACTTAAAGAAAATAAATGTAATAGATGTCAGAGTGTAAACTGAAGCCAATGGCCTGCTTGTCTTTTTTCTTTAATGAGCTGCTAGATTAGAAGCAAGTCTCTGCTGTGTTGCTGAGCTGCTGATTGGGTTTCAGTAAATGCGTGTTCTAAATTTCTGGGTGCTGAGTGAGAAGTGTGGAGTGCCAGAATTAAACACTCCTATACAACTCCTCATTTGAATGTAAATGTGTGGAATACTGAAATCAGTCTTCTAATTAACACTGGCATCATTACAAGGAAAATGAAAAACTGGGAGCTGGCAAGAAAATATATAAGCAAACTTTTATATGAATAATTAAGCCACAGTTGAGCTCGCACTGGAACCCTTTTATCAGCCACTGATTACAGTTATGAGCAAAAGCCAAAACATTTCAGAGAACTTTAACTGGACTGAACTTAACATACTTCTCCTTCCATATACACAAACAGAAGCCACAGCTGGTGTAAGCTGGTGTAGCTCCACTGACTTCAATGGGATTACACTCATTCATACCCGTTGAGGATCTTACCCACAGTGTACTGAAATATTGTTAGTACCCATACTTCAAGACTTTTTAATTTCCATCCATGACCTGTAGACAAGTGACCCATAGGCAAATTGTAAAATGAATACAAAAAACTGAAAGTTTTCTTTCATCTCTTGTCAAACCACTGACTGCCATTAGCTATGCAACATGGTATGAATGGGTTTTTTATTTAAACAATGTTGCAAGTTGTTATTAAATATTTATGTAGTGTCATAGCTTTGCATGGTTCCTTTGTCTGTTACTGAGTTTTAGGTTACTGTCTGGTTTACCATCAAGGATATCCTGCTAAAGCCAACAAATACAAGCTGCTGTTTTAATATGTATTTGCTATGGGCAGTAAACAAAACAGAGACTAAGAGATTTCACTCCACATTTTATAGTCTTTGCTCAAGACATACTAATGGGATTTCACAATCTTGGAGCAGCTGAATCTTCTCTGCAATGCAAATCATGGATAAGTACAGCACTTATTAAAGAGGAAATGACTTCAATGGGAAATTCAAATTATCAAATGTATGAATGTGATTCCTCCCATGCATAAATAAAATATAAGTTGTTATATGGCAAGTTTCAGTTAGCAGAGATTTTCTGAATGCTTGGGTTTTGGCAATAGTGAGTATTAGACAAAATGTGCAACACCACACAAGTTATTTTTAATAAACAGACTTAGGCACAATTTTACTTAGGAGGACATGTTTCAATTTTTCTCAGTATATGCCTATACTAAGCATTGTCTGACCTAACTTTCAAGCATCTGCCTCAGTAGAGAGATTTAAAATGACAAATGTCTAGTCTTTCCACAGAGTCAGTGGAGGGAACTTGTGGAAACAAGAATGAATCACACCTACATCGAGTCACGGAGAAGTAGGGCTGGAAGGGACTTCAAGAAATCATCCAATCCAACCCCCATGCTTGTGAGAGGATCATCTATATCTAAACCATCCTATGCATGTGTTTATCTAACCTATTCCTAAAACTACCCAATCAACTCTGTTGCACAGCTACAAAGCACGTGGCCCCAAAACACCAAGAGCCTGTCACAGGTAAATCAAGGAGTTGAGAGCTATCAGTTTCCTACCACTGCAAGTGTTGTTAAAATGCACTAGAGAGATGAAAGACGGCCATGCTCCCCTGCTACAGAGGAAGTGTCTAACATAAAACATACACACAGTGCTGGGAAGCAGAAACAATCACGCAGGACTCCCCTCTCCACAGGCTACAGGGGAAAATTCTTTTTTACCTTGTTCTCCTTCTAGTCCCACAAGCCTTGCATTCTTAGCTGCTCAGTAGCCCAACAGGAGGGGTAGAGAGAGACCTCACCTCACTTATTCAGCAGCCAGAAATTTGGAGACGGGACTAGCAGCAGTGTTAATGGCTGTTCCCCTGCTGCCAAATTTCCAGACCTGTGAAAAGCCTTGCAGGCCTGATAACGTGGCTCTGCATGCTAAATCGTGCTGGTTTGCAGTTGGAGCTGGAATGTGGAGTCAGCACAGCACATGGTCAAATCTCAGGCATGGGGTCAGGGCAGCATGCTGAATCATGCTCACAGACTGACTTCACCTGAGATCTGGCCTGCAGACTGAACTTTTGCTACTTTTCCACCCCACAGGCCCACCAGAAGGTTGGGCATGACTTTTCTAATCAGGAGGTTACCAGGCAAAAGCTGGACAGAAGCAGCAGCAGCACCACCACCAACCATTCTGAGTTGTAGATATGAGTTAAAAGTTGTGGATTGTGTCCAGGTAACTAGCAGGGTCTCTCTGGAGATCCACGCAGATGTTGTGCACTTTCAGCGAGCCATTCAAGCTACACAGAAACTTAGGCAAGGAGTGAGACTGCCCTGGGTTGGCTTACAAGCCTACAAGCCTGTGTAGAATTAATGAACTCTAAAATGGAAGTATACACTTCATTTAGGCATCTACATTAACATGTAGGATGCTGGTGCCAGGCCAATCTGAACTGCTCCTCAGAAATGTCCCTCTTCTGCCTCAGTCCTGGTTATTCTGCTACCAAATTTAATCTGGCCCAGGGAGTATATCTGCCCTGTTATAAAGGGGGAGAATGATCTACATTAGAGGGCTAGATACCAGAACCACTTACCTTGGAAACAAAACATTCTGCTATTGCTACAGGGTCATTTTCACAGTTTTCCAAGTCTTGCAAAAGTTCACTAATAAAAAAAGATGGAAAAAGGAACATTATTTTTTATGATCCACTTTATACCCATGTACTTGACATAGCTTTGTCTTTCTTCACATCATAATAATCACTGCAGTTTAAACGTAAGTTAAAACTAGACCAATATTCAAACCTGGAATTTTATTGTTTCCTCCCATTGAAAACACAACTGTATTTACCTGTCTTCTGTGTTATTAACTTTATTAACCTATCATTAAGGACAAGATCTTCAACCTTAATTATGTACAGTTACATGAATATATAGATGATGTGTGTACCACATATGTGTCTGTTCAGATGTGCAGCCAGTTAAGCAGACTAGAGATCTGCAAGTGCATGTGGCCAATTTACATACATTCATAAAATAGGCACACCTGCAAATGTATGCATAGAATTACATGATCCTGATACAAGGAGTCCATTCTGACTCAACTTCAGGTGGTCAATACACAATGTTGCATCTCGACCTTACTGCCCCAAGTCATCTGAAACTGATTTCACATTCCTCAGTAGATATTAGGATTTTTTACTAGACCCAATTAACAGAAAAGGGTTGGAGGGTCTATGTCTTTTAACTAGTTTGGTAAAGTGAGGTGGCTGCTAGACCTGCTAGGGTCTTCCACTCTCTTTCCTTGCTCCGGTTGAGAGAAGCTGTTGCTTTGTGTCTTCGCGGAACAGGCTCTTGGAAATGCCATTCCAGCATATACTATTCATAATCGCCACGTCACAATGCAACACAGCTGACCTTCTTAGATGACTTAGAAAAGTTTTGCTGCTAACCAACTCCATCAAGGTGAATAGAAGGGGAATGTTACAGCAGCATATTTCAAAATCAAGGAGGAGACTCTGCTTCTGTTCATCTGTACTGATGGTCAAATGGAACGGAGTGAAATTTAAAATGCAATGAAGCAAGTGTTCTGTTATAAGACAATTGTTTTCCAGCCTCCAATACTAGGGGCTTTGCTTGACAGGCTCTACCTTAGCTAGTTTGAGAAGCAGAGCTACATTACAAAAAGGAAGGATTGTAATCACTTCACTAATAAGAAAACCTCCCATTTTGACTGGAGGGAAAGTAGCAGACTTGGAAAGAGTTTTCTTGAAGGAAAGACAAAGTAGACAAAGGATGCTTGAAAAAAACGCAGGAGAAAATAAAACCCTAAGTATAAACTTCAATAATTCTACCATGTCAAACAGGAGATTAATTCTTTACAACAGGAGGAAAGTCTTAAGTCGTATGCTTAGTATTGTCCAAGATTCATCTATTCTTGGGGGAATGTATGAGAACATTTTTATTTTTCATTTTATTGTGCAAGATGCACAGAAAATCAAAAGGGAGATAATTCAGGCAGAGGAGGAAAACACCTGTGACGACCCTCTAGTCCCAGAGGTCTAGTTTGCTAGATCTCTAGCAAAAGTCCTACTGAGACAATATTACGGAACAATAATCCTGATTTCCTGTCAAATGGACTCCCTAACAGAAGCTTTTTCCCTTTTTCTTAGGTGCCATTTCTTTACAAAGGGATAGATAGTTTCTTGCATTACAGTGCTGTATGCTCAGGATACAAAGCTGTATCTAGAAGTTTTCTTCTTTCTTTTCACAGGAACATGATTTCCTATTTGAGAACCCAAAATGTAACAAAACAAGGACACCTGACTTGCCCTTATTCTTCAAACTTTCAAGAAAATAAATCAATCTATAACTCTGAGGAAGTCATTTAACCTCTGTACTCCAATTTCACCATCTGCAAAATGGGGATAACCAGACTACTATTTGCTGATACCAAATAGTGGAGAAATATCACCTTGTAAAATTTGCTATATTTTTGTTTAGGAGTTCAAAGGCAGTGATAAAGCAGTTGCTCCCTTAGTTCAGTCTTTCATTTCTTACAGACAACAGACAAATAGCATAGCCTTTACTATTTATGCTATACTTATCAGGCTCATTGGCCATAAACTAAAAACGTCAACATTGCACAATGCAGTGCTATGCCAGATACTTTGATTTGCTTTAAATAAATTAGTTTGATGCCAGAAACAATTTAGCTGTGGTTGCACAGAGCTCTGTGCAGGCTACTATACCCTGGGAGTGTCTACACACATTGATACGGCAATGTTGTTACTGCACTGTGATTTAGTACTTCTTGGAAGTACTAAATCACAGTGCAGTAATGGCCCCGACTGCGCCACACATGCAGCACAGTTATTTTTAGCAGCTATTTTGCCATAGTGGCACACTATACCAGGGCAATGCGTCACTACAGCAAAGTACCTGCTGGTCACACGTAGATGCCCATGGATGCTATGGCGGCATACCATCACGTGAAGACATCATGCCCCCTGAGATGCAGCATCAATTAGCTTCTTGGGGTCTGCAGTGTAGATGCAGAATGAATGAGTGCACATAAAGTTTGCATTTGAAAGAATCCTAACATCTCTCCATCTCATTTACTGGGAGAAATCACACTGGTGTGTACTACGGGTTTCAGACTCATTTGGACTACGTACAAGGCAGTAGAGCCAGTGTTACTGTGGGTTGGAAGGGCTAACAAATAGGACTAACACTCAGAGGTCAGGAGAGGGAAAGGAAAACAGAATACCAGAAATTTGCACCCCATTTTTTCATTTTCATCTTGATTAGGTTGAGTCAAAGTTTTGCCATATTCCACCGCTCCCTCCACTCCCCTGCCTACCGAGGGCTCTTTAGATGTCTTGGAGGATATACTGTTTCAAGGGAAAATACAGTTAAGGGTGTACCTGAAGACATATTTTCAAAGTCTCAAAGTACCATAAGCCATCTAAGTATTATCAGAAGTCAACAGTAGTGAGCTGGATACCCAATCTCCTTCTTGTCCCTTTGAAAAAATCTTATATGCACATATATCTTTAGATTGCAACTAAAATTACAATCATCATTTGATCAGCAAAACAAGAAATGTCAAGTGTAGGCAAGTAGTTATTTTAATACTGATTTTCATCTACCCTGTGTTTTGACATGTTTATAATGAAGTCTCAAAATGTCATGCCTCCAATAAAACAGAAAATAAAGAAAAACATAGCACCAGCATAATCATGTGGCAAAGCTCATGAAGCCAAAACTGTAAGGGAACAAATACTTTCTCCATTTTGTTCTATTTTAATTAAATGCTATTTTTTTAAGCATAGCATTAGAGTTATTTTTTTTTTAAATGTTTCTCTTCACAATCATCCAAATTATGTCACTATGAAAATAAAAGCAGGATTCACCCAACATGATATATTTGTAGAAGCTGGTCCTACCCCAATAATTGTATAATTGAGTAAAGACATTAGAAGGGTACTGTCAAGTGGTAGATGTAGGACAGTGGGAGATGCATGTCGGCAGATGCCCCAGATGCCAGCCCAGATTCGGTAAATGCTCGTTTGCTGGCCCCTTTCAAGCATTCTTAGGACAGGTTCACCTAAGGGTGCCTACAGATGTTTAGAGACCATGCTCTAACTCATGGCACTTTACGCAAAGCACCATGAGTTAGAGTCCTCCCCCTTCCTGACTTAGTAGATGTTTGGATGGTTGGGTTGGGGAGATTTGAGCCTGGAGGCCGCTGAACCACCCATCCCCACAGCTCTGGCTCCTTCCAGGGTTGTCAGCAGGACAGGAAGGGGGATAGGGAGGTAGCAGTACACAGTTGCTGGCTGGACTTTGCCTAGCCGGGGCTGGAGTAGGGTAGAATGGAGCCCCGTTGCCTCATGGGCCCCCTCAGCTATTCTGGCTGGGGTACTGGGGGCAGCCAGGCCAGGCCTGGGAGATGAGGGGGCTCCCTTCCCCCGCCCAGGCCTCTTGGCAGCAGCAGAAGCAGCCACTGCCTCAGCTTTGCCATGGCTGGAGTTTGGTGGGGAGGGCAAGGTGGAATCAGCCTCCTCACCTTGCGGGCCTGGCCAGGCTCCACCCAGTACCCCAGCTAGGGTAGCAGGGGTGGAGGGAAGGGGGAGAGAGGTGAGGCCATGAGGCAAGGGGGCTCCATTCCACACCTCTCCCTCCAGCTCCAAGCAGGCAAAGCCCAGCCAGCAACTGCATCTGGCTCCCTGCCCTCCCCATCCCCTCCCTCCCTTGCTGACAGCTGCAGGGGTGGGGCTGCCTGAGCTGGTGCTTGCTCATACAAAGGTGTGAAAAATTAACCCTCAAGGGAACACAAGTTCCCTAAGGCAGTGGTCTCCAAAGTGGGGTGCGCGCACCCCAGGGGGTGCACAAGACGACCCGTTGGGGTGCAGGAAGAAAATATTAGAACTTCTATTTCTATAAGTATACATATATTGGGGGTGCGTGCTCAAAAAATGTTTACTGATGGGGTGCGTGAATATAAATATACATATATTGGGGGTGCGTGCTCAAAAATTTTTTACTGATAGGGGTGCGCGATCAAAAAAGTTTGGAGACCACTGCCCTAAGGCACTCTGCTCTAGAGTGCCTTCAGCTAATACCTGGTTTATCAAGGGTTAATTTTTCACGTGATTGGCCATTTTAAAAGCACCCTGCAGCCATCCGTGTGTTATGTCACAGCTGTAGAACACTTCTAGGGGACCCACTGCACAAAAAACAACTTGTGTAAGCGCCCTATGTGTTGTTGCAGGACTGCACTCAAGAGCACTAGAACGGGTTACCTAGACCAAGATCTCAAACATACAGCCTGTAGGCTGTATATGGCCCTTGGACCTATTTCCTCTGAACCATGGGGTTCTCAGTGGGCCTGTGAATTCAGGGATAGAACCTACTGCAAATCTTGGAGCTAAGGGGCCTCACTAGGGATAGCCTTCAGTGAGAAGGGGATAAACAATAGCCATGCTGACACCGTGCCACCTGCCTCCCTGTTTATGCTACTGTCACTGCCAGATCTGGATCTGGCCTGCCATTTGGATCTGGCCCAAGGGCTGGGTGGGTTTGACACCCCTGACCTAGACATGTTGTGCAAGTCTCTCTTACTGAACATTTTTAAGTGCAGATTAGAAAAATATTTGTCT